GGGGGGGGGGGGGTAAAGTTTTTTGTTATAAGACATAGCTTTAAAAAACAATAAAATTAATTCACTTTATAAAATGGTTAAACAGCTCTATGGCACACAAGCAAAAAGCAATAATAAGTACATGTAAAAAGGAGGTTTTATCTTAAACATAAGTTCTTAGAAAAATCCGGTTTCCTGAAGTTTCTGAACAAAAAAGCGGAAGTCAGCTGCTTCATTCATTGTTAGACCGGCGTTAAAACCAGATGCGGTTCCTATCAGCACTTCTGCCATCTTTTTGACCTCCTCTTCAGTCATACCCATTTCGGTGCCAAATGCTTCAACTGTTGGTGCTTCTGAAAACGGTGAAAAAATGTAGGTTTATCTGGCTAATCCGTTTATGGGGGTTGCACATACATAAAGAACACCTTACTTGCCTTAAAAATTAGGATTCATTACAATACAGTTATCTTTCTCAAATGTTCTCCCTCAAAAGAATTATTGTTTCGACAAATACCTGTCAAGATCGCTAGCAGAGCCCTTCCCCAATGCAGAAGTACCGTAATTACTCAAGTCAAGTACTTTTTTTTAAAGCTGCTAACGAAGGGTATTTTGCACAGTACTTTACTTTGACTAGTTTCCGGTAACTTACCTTGCATGATCACAGAGTATGCTTTGCGAGATTGAGTAGAAAAATGGTTACCATCCATGCCACCGAAACTGTTCAAAGTAACACTTTGTCATTACTATGAATATATACGTTAGCGAAGGAATGGTAGGTAACAGCACAAGGAATGCCCGAAAGAGCGCTACACTAGCGTTTCATGCTTAGCTACGGAACTGTGAACCTTTAGCAAACTGGAGATCGATTAAACATAAGCAAGAAATCAAATTAAACAACTACGCAGTATCTTCACGAAAGCTAATTCAGCTACGCAATTTTACGTCCTCGCCCGGTTTTGCAGTAGCGGCACCTATCTCAACCGTGTACTATGTGGCAGGTTCGAGAGTGAAAGCTGTTTCGAGTCGAACACAAAACTGAGTCATGGCTCGCCGTGGCGCAAGCGCAGATGTGAATGGCTTTGAAGGCTTTATTGAATTGAAGCCAGGAAAGGAAAGGAGTTGGAGGCTCTTCTTTTTGGATTTCTCTCATCCACAGAATTTCATTTAGTCGTTCAAGCGCATCGCGCAGTCCACAAGAAATATTTGAAAATCAGCCTTCGAAACCTACTCTCTAGAACCAATTTTAGCGAATTTTATTAATTCCAGTAAGCAGAAATGAGGATTAACATTTTCAGTTAAATTTACTGTATAATGAGGAGAGACTGGAAAAAATTTTGGACCTTTTATTCCTCCAAATTGTAATTAAATCCGACGTTCGGTGAAAGCGAACATCCACAGTTAGAAAAGCTCGTTACTCAGTGAAACATAAAATTTTTGGCTAAATTTTGAGTCTCATGATCGGATTTTTATGCGTTTTTGCCTATATGCAAATTGCAAAAACGCATACTGGGACGACCCCGTCTGTGTGTGCGCATGTGTGTGTGTGTGTGTGTGTTTGTGTGTGTGTGTTTTCGTCTGTCCGGTATTTCAACTCGGCAACCAAGCAAGTTTCAGCGTCGAGATTTTGCTGTTGGGTACCCCGGCCAAGTACCACCCCAGAACCGCGGTACC